ACGACGCGGGCGACGGCGGCGAGGGTGACAGACACGATGAGCAGAGACGTAACGGTCGGGAACAAGCCCAAATATGGTATACCGCGCTCCGCCGCTCCGAACAGTGAGCGCGCAGCACGTGAGCGGGACGCGTCAGTATTGTGGTTTAGCGCCTGTACTGCTTGTCCTCATCCTCCTCCATCTCTGATTCTCTCGCCCGCCATGAAAATCACCGTGAAAACACTACAACAGAAAGTCTTCCAGGTGTGTACGGTGACGCCTCCCGTTGTATGTAGCCCTAACGTATGTGGATCGTTGTAGATCGATGCCGAGGGCAATGACACTGTTGGAGACCTGAAGAAGAAGATCCAGGAGGCCCAGGGTCATGCAGTTGAGAGCCAGAAATTGATCTATTCAGGTGCGGTCTTGGAGGGCTTCGCGCTCGAACAAGTCCTCATTCGTTCGCAGGCAAGGTTTTGCCGGACTCGAAGACGGTGGAATCATGCGAGATCAAGGAGAAGGACTTCCTCGTGCTCATGGTCTCGAAGGTGCGTCTTGTCGCGATCGGTCGTTGAGGTAAACCACAACGTCGTTTTATACAACAGCCTAAGCCAACTCCCGCCTCTGCCGCATCGTCAAGTGCGACCCCCGCCGCAAGTGCGCCACCGGCAGTTCCTGCCGCTGCCGCTGAGACCCCCGCTGCTGCACCTCAACCTCCCAATGCACCCATCCTTACTCCCGCGCAGGCTGCACCCGTACAGCCGAGCGAGCCGCGCCCCTTCGGCGATACCAGCTCCTTCCTGACCGGGGATGAACTACAATCGACAATCCAGAACATGATAGAGATGGGTTTCGAGCGTGAGCAGGTTATGCGTGCCCTGCGTGCCAGCTTCAACAACCCTGACCGCGCGGTCGAATATCTGTTCAACGTGCGTCATTGTGTTCACTGCGCCTCCCGCATTCACTCACTAGCCCGTTCATTGGCTTTAGGGTATTCCTGCTCACCTGGACCAAGTGGCGGCTGGGACTGCTGGTGCTCCCGCTGCCGCCGCCGCCGCTCAAGCTGCCGCTCCTGCCGCTCAGCCTGCAGCCCCCGCCACTGCTGCCGCTGCGCCACCTGCTCAACCCGCCCAGCCAGCTGCTGCGGCGCAGCCCCAGAACTTGTTCCAGCTCGCTCAACAGCAGCAGCAGCAGGGTGGCGGCGGCGGTGCCGGTATTCCCGGGCTCGGTGGTGCGGGTGGAGGTGCCGCGAACTTGGCAGCCCTGGCCAACCACCCGCAAATCCAGCAGCTCCGCGAGATCCTGACGCAGAACCCGCAACTCGCTCAGCCTCTCATCCAGGAGCTCGCACGCAACAATCCCGCGTTGGCACAGCAGATGGCTGCTGACCCCGAGGCTTTGTTGCAACTCCTCGGCGGCATGGAGGACGACGAGGAAGGTGGCGGTCTCCCTCCGGGCGCGCAGGTTATTCAAGTCACGGAAGAGGAGCGGGCTGCGATCGAGCGAGTAAGTGGTTCCCCCCACGTTCATACGGCTTGGAATTGACGACGGTTTCAGTTGGAGGCGCTTGGTTTCCCGAGGCAAGCTGTGATCGAGGCGTACTTTGCGTGCGACAAGAACGAAGAGATGGCCGCGAATTACCTGTTCGACAGCGCGTTCGAGGATTCATGAGGCAGTCGGACGACTGGGCTTTGTACTGTGAGCGAGGATTATGTAGCCATTCCACCGTGTATCATTGTTATCGCAGTGTACTGTCGTTGGTGATTATGCATTGATGATTGAAGTTATCGACGGATGCACGGAAGCCGGCAGCGGAGGGAGCCGCGTTTGGCGAGGCGAAGGCCTGATGCGGTGGCCGGGGTCTCCACGTGTCGGACGCTAGGCGTGTTTGCAGTCGTCCGCTGTTGGACGCCGACGCGCCGCGCGAACCTCCTTGACTCTCTCCTCGTTCCTCCTCGCACCCCAACCTCCCGTCGTTCGTTACCTTCTGCAATCCGCCGCCAGCCATGGGTGCCAATCTCTCGAAGGCTCTGGGTGCGTGTATGCTCTCTGCCTGCGCGACGGCCACGCGAGCAGCTCGCGAGGATGAAGCGAGTCGAGTGACATGGTCCGCTGATGTGCTGTACTCCCCGCAGGGAAGATTTTTGGAAACAAGGAGATGAGGTTGCTGATGCTCGGGCTGGACGCGGCTGGAAAGACGAGTGAGTGTCCATGTCTTTGTCTGTGCGCGAGCTGCCCTGTTGACCGCGCGTGTTCGATCGCAAGCTATCCTCTACAAGCTCAAGTTGAACCAATCTGTTACTACCATCCCAACAGGTGCGTCTTAGAGCGATTAGTCGGGACGTGGCGTGATGAACGAATGTCTGTCGGCGTGGCGACGTACAGTGGGCTTCAACGTGGAGACCGTGACATACAAGAACGTCAAATTCAACGTCTGGGATGTTGGAGGGCAGGACAAGATTCGACCTCTCTGGCGGCACTACTACACTGGCACCCAGGGTCTCGTGTTCGTCGTCGATAGTCAAGATAGGGAGCGTATAGACGAGGCGAAGCAGGAGCTCCATCGTATATTGAGCGACCGAGAAATGAAGGAGTGTCTCCTGCTCGTCTTTGCCAACAAGCAGGATCTGCCAGGAGGTACGTGGTGCATGCTCATCCCAGTCCGCATTGCTGCTCAACGTCCGTACACACAGCGATGTCACCAGCAGAAGTTACGGAGAAGTTGGGTCTCCACCGAATGCGCGACAGGTCATGGTATGTTCACCCAAGGTACGTAAACGGCCAGTATCGTGCATCCGGCTTCCAGTCCTGACCATGCCACAGTTGCGCGACGACGGGAGAGGGTCTCTTCGAGGGCCTGCAATGGCTCTCGCAGAACGTCAAGAAACGCCAGCAGTAAGATGCGCGCGCCTCGATTCGTTTCTGGAGATTCGGTCAAGTCCCCTTCCATCCTGCTCTATACCCTCACATGTCTCTGGAGATCTCGTCCATGTAACGGCCCGCATGACACACGCATGACGCACGACGGACACTCGTCCACACGTTTTCAGCCGCTGTCTCTCTACCCGTTAGCTGCCTCTACTACTTACCTCTTCTTTGTTTCATTCTTCTTGTTCATACGTATTACCCCGTTCACTCCCGAGATACACCTGTATTCACACTTTAATGGATAGGCTGCCCGCTTCGCTCGCGTTTTGCCCGGTACTGTCTTCTCTGTCAGCTAGCTAGCGTCTCTAGGCCCACATTTGTGCTCTACCACTTCCTGTCACTTCTCAAATACACAGCAGCGGAGCTTTCGGGTTGCAACGTGCGTGTCCGAGTCCGAGTCTGGTCCGAGGCTCGCGCCCGACCCCGACCTCTCTTCAAGAGAGGATTAGCAGTACGGAAAGCGTTTGAAATGCTGTTACATAACTGTCGTGCAGTGGGAGGCTTGCTCACGATGACGCCTTCGTTTGGAGACTTGTCGTCGGCCACTGAAAAGGCGGACGTTTCTGTCTGACTGCAGCAATAAATCCGTCCGTCCGCGCGGTGTCGGCAAGGCTTCCTTCCCTCCACTACCATGTCTATCTCTGCTGCGTTCAGGGCACGCGCCAAGCCGCTCGCTCGCGCATTCACCTCGCGCGCCGTCGACGGATTCGTCGGTGGCGTCGGAAACACACCGCTGGTACGTTTCCCGACAACCTTGCTCGTTCGTATGGTCCGCAGCTAAAGTCACACACAGATTCGGCTCGAGAAGCTCTCGCGACTGACAGGCTGCGACATTGTCGCCAAGAGCGAGTTGCAGAACCCTGGAGGAAGCGTGAAGGACCGTGCTGCCCTTGGAGTCGTTCGGGATGCTGAGCAGCGAGGTCTGTGAGTACCTATCCTCCTGTCATGCCTGAGAGAGGTGCGGTGGTGACCGAGGAGGACAGACTGAAGCCTGGCGGAACGGTCGTCGAGGGCACGGCAGGAAACACGGGTATCGGGCTCGCGCACGTCTGCAGAGCACGGGGATACCGCTGTGTAATCTTCATGCCCAACACCCAGGTACGCCCTCCCAACGTATCTAACTACCCATTCCCCCACCCCTCATGTGCATGTACACAGAGTCAAGAAAAGATCGACCTCCTGCGCATGCTCGGCGCGGAGGTGTACCCCGTGCCCGCGGTCGCGTACGAGGACCCGAAGAACTACAACCACCTGGCGCGAGACTTTGCGAAGGACCTCCCGAACGCGATCTGGACGGACCAGTTCGACAACACTGCGAACGCGGAGGCGCACTACCGCTCCACGGGCCCGGAGATCTGGGAGCAGACGCAGGGCAAGGTGGACGCGTTCATCTGCGCGACGGGCACGGGGGGCACGCTCGCCGGCGTCGGGCGCGCTCTGAAGGAGAAGAGCGACGGCAGGACGCAGGTGTGGCTGGCGGACCCCCCGGGCAGTGTCCTCGCAAGTTATGTCTCCAGCGGTGGCAAGCTGAAGGAGCGCAGTGGAGGGTCTATCACAGAAGGTGCGGTATTCGAGCATGCATCCCGCTTGCACAGCTGACACTGAGACCTGCTTGTTCTGCAGGTATCGGGCAGGGCCGTATCACCAACAACCTCGGCACGTTCGTGAAGCAGCTTGACGGAGCGCTGCACATACCAGATCAGAAGACCATCGCCATGCTCTACGAACTTTTGGACACCGAGGGTCTCTATCTGGGCGCGAGTTCAGCCCTCAACGTCGTAGCTGCTGTGGAACTTGCTCAGAAACTTGGACCTGGTACGTGCTCGTGCCCTAGGGGATGCCGACCCTGTCGCTAACATCGGCAATGCCAATGTATCAACAGGTAAAACCATTGCCACCATCCTTTGCGATGGTGCATATCGGTACCAGAGTCGGCTTTTCTCGAAGAAGTGGCTAAAGGCTAAGGGTTTGGAGGACTCCGTACCAGAACACTTGCAGAAGTACGCTGTGTTAGATTGAGTTCATGCTTAGGACCAGGACCAGGCCATCGAGTATGAATTGGACTTGACAGGCATTATGAGCTATGAGCCCAGACACTGATGGTGAAACGGTATCATGCTTGCCTTCCAAGCAAGCGGCGTGGGTTCGACTCCCGCTCAGTGTAATCTTTGTTCCAAGTTGGAATTCTTTTGCTTTTGGCCAGCGAACCGTCGTGCAGCAGCGTATGATGGTTCGATTGCAGGACACGGGGAGTTCAATCATTCGTGACACTCTCAACAGGGCTATAACAGTCGCTGATGTATTCAAGGAGTCACTTCCACCTGACGTCGACTCAGCTCCGTCTCCAAAGTCTGTACCTCATCTTGAAGTTCCTCTACCTCTGCTCTCCTCTTGCCAACCAACCCGTCCAGCCCAGAGCACGCAGCCTCTGACACAACGAGGACATGCCCATGCATCGTCTGTGTCAACGTAGCCTGCAGACAGAATTCGACGTCAGTGACGGGACGTCAGAAGGGATCATCCTTGGGGAACAGATACTCACCTTGAGGTCCCTCTCAAGACCCTCCCCAATCCGATCCCAGTTCTTCCACCACCGCCTCTTCGCCTTCTCCCAGCGGCCGACAGCCCACCGCACGCCCACGGCTGCACCCAGCATCCCGACGCCTAGCGCGGTCTCCGGGCTCATGCCGATGTCAATGAGGCCGCCAAACAGCTGCAGCTCGGTTGCCCACCCTGCCCAGGCGACTCCGAAGCCACCAAGGACACTCCCGCTCATGCCCACGACAGCACGCTGCGCGGACGCGTGCAGGCGCTCAGTGGGGAAGCGAAGCTGGCTCTGGCGAGCGTGCAAGGGCCCGGTGAGCACAGTTGCTGTGATGGGGTACGAGGGCGCTGACGCGATGCGCGCAAGGCTGTTGTGAAGCACGGGGGATTGGTAGGCCGAAGCCGGCGGGAATGAGCGGCAGAGCGAGTTGGCTGCTTCCGTGAAGGAGGTCTGCAGAGCTGCTAGCCGTCCTGCGTGGAACACGAGCTATGTACAAGCCTGTCAACTGTTATCGTAGCGGAGACGACATCTCGTAAAGGACTGACCTTGCGCTCGAGGTCCCGACACCAGGCACGGTCGACAGCAGCTATGATGACTTCGCGAACGTCGTCGACGCGCCAGAACAGCTTGTACCACTGTAACGAATCCATGGTCGGCTGCACGCTCTTCTTAGCCTGCGCAATGGCCTTCGCGATCTCATCTCCGTCTTTGCCCTCGACACCGAAAACCTCGAGATGAACCTTCGCCTTCGCCTCTTCCATCTGACTACGCAGAGCACTGGTGGCCGTAAGCACCGCATCCGCTTCGAGTTCGGCCTTACGCAGGACGGCGCGGGATGTTGCAAGCGCGTCTTTGATTAGTGCGCGGCCTGTCTGGGCGTGTACTGCAACGACTCGTGCGGCGAGCGGTACATTGGGAGAGCCCTGCGGAAGCAGCTCCTTCACGGTGTGAGTGATGCTCGAGATGTTCGACCCCGAGACATCGTCCTGGTACCGTTGCACGGATATGGGTGAAGCCACGCCGCCGTCGAGCATCCCTAACCCGTGCAGCGCTCTTGCAGGGTCCACGAAGACGACGCGTACGTTCCCTTGCGAGGCGAGGCCCTCGACCTGAGAGTTATGAGCAGCAGTGGCAGGATGGGCCGGTGAAGGCGAGAGAACAGCCAGTATTGTGTGTTCTCGTGATAGACGAAGGCCGGGATATGTGGCGGCTGTAGCGACCGGAGTGGATATGGGATTGCAGAGGACGATTGGGACGTCCGCCGTGAACAGGGCTTTTGCTGTCTCTGGGTCAGGGAGCACACCGATGGAGGGAGACTTGAACTCGGTGACCTCTATCGGGAGGCCGAAGTTCTGCAACCATGAGGACTGGACATGCACAACGTCTCCATCCGCGGACGGTGAGGTGCCGTACCTTTACGGCGTCAGCGAAACGAAATAACTGCTAGGCATGAACGCACTGTATCCTGACACTCCGGCTACCCTCCGGCTGGGATTTCCAACGAGAGCGAAGCGTCTGCTTCTGCTCGTTTGACACGAATGGATCTTCCAGGAGCGCGGTCACAAGCTCGTTCGCGCCGGACATCCAGTCCGTTCCATAGACTGTACAGCCCGCGCACAGTCAACACACACGTACCACACCATCACGATGAACTTCGGAAGCCAAATGCGAGACACGCACCTGCAACCCTCACGCGGTCCTTTTCCCGCTTCTCCGCCGAAGGCGTCAAGTCTTCGTACACCTTTCCGAGCACCTCCTCCCAGAACCCCAGCGAATCCCTTAATGATACTCCCTGCAAGCCCGGCTTCGAGTTCGGGAGTATACGCGGAAGGAGCGAGGTCGCCTTGTGCAGCACGGTAAGAACATGCGCTCGCTGCTCTTCATGCTTGCTCGAAGTTGCGGTCGAGGCACGCCGTATGGCACCCGAGCCAGGTGCGCGGCATCGTTGTGCGCACTGTGAAATAGCGAGAACATGCGAGCTATGATGTTGTGCGGAAGAGCGAAGTAGGCCAGAAGATGAGGCCAGACATGTCGGCATGGAGGAGAGTCGCGGTCATGTCGAGACGCGCTCCCATGATGCCGAGTACCGCGCGCCCGGTGAGCCGGGTATGTAGTACATAGTTCTACGATTCCAATGCCATCGCTCTTTCTGCACACTAACAAGATTGCTCGTCACCCTATCGATCGCCGCAGAAAAGATTTGACTACAAGGAAGACACCGCATGCATTCAACGCAATCTACGCGGACGGTTGTGGACCTACCGCCTCTCTCTGAGCACCTGTCTGGGAACCCGAAATGGCGGAGAATCTCTTGAATGTGGGTGATAATTAGTTGAAGACACCTATCGGACTCTGCAACTCGCGTCAATAATCGAAAATAGGACTAGAAGATGCACGCACTTATTTTCTACATGACACGCTTGGGCCTCGAATGACATTGTCGCTTGGGGTGGTCTGCGTGCAGGTCCAGCTAGAAGCTCAGCGAAGACAGCTATAGTCCGACACCACGAGTACCGATACACATTACATCCGCATACACTACCATAAATTACTCTCCAGTAACAACAATCTTCGGCGGAGGGGGTGGAGGCGGCCCGCCCGCAGTGCGAGGCTCGTCGTCTTCGCTCTCCTCGCCGATGTCAAACAGCTCCTCTCGTTCGTCCCAGACGTCAGAGAGGCGCGTTGCTGCTTTGTGCGGCCCTTGTCGGGCAGACCGAGGAGACTTCGCACTGTTTGGCGTCCGTGGCGCGCTCGGGGAATGATGGAGGGGCAGGAGCTGTGTGCCCCCCGGCTCGTCGTCGTCTTCTTCGTCGTCAGATGGTATAGAATCGGTGTCGAGCGGGCGGTATAGACGGGATATCTGTGAAATATCTGTGAGCCTGTGTTTGGGGCTGCGCAGACGATGCCGTACCTCGCGTCTATGTCTGTAGTACCGCTCGAGGTGGTAGGCAACGTACAGTCCGAGGGTCGACCCCAGCAGGTTCGCCGCTACGTCTCCCGCTTGGAACTCCTTATACTGTGATAAGGTCAGTCCCGCGGGAAAGCGAAGGAATTAGGGGTGGACGCACCGGCAGCATTGACTGCACGAACTCGCTCATAATGCCACCAAAGAAGAAGCAGACCACGCCAGTGAAGATGAGAGGAGCGCTGCGCCAGAACCATATTCTCCGTGCATCCCTATGAGCGAAGGGGGCAACAGGAGCTTGAGGAACACGTTGTGAGCGGTACGTCGTCCGACTTACTCTTCGACATCGAATATGAAGTAGAAAACGGCGGTGGCGGACCCCATGCAGAAGAAGTGGAGCAGCTTGTCATTGATGGGCAACGAGTGTGCAAAGTTGGTGAATCCAAGGAAGGCTAAAGATAGGAGGATCAAGCAAGTGAAGAGCAAGAACCACTAGCCGAGCTACGGTAAGGACCAGGGAGAATGTGCAATAGTCTGCTTGGACATACTGGTCGCAACCGTAGAGGCATGTCGTACTTCGGTATGCGGAAGTGGTGCGAACGCATGACAGCCTTGTTCATCTTCCGTAGGGCTTTGCGGGAGCTGCGGGAGGTGCGCGTCCATAACGGCTCGGAGGTCGAGGTCGCGTCCGGAAGTCCTATCATTATTGAGACCGCCTTGCGGATGGCGTACGTCGGTACAGCCTATCTTTTCAGACAAGCCAAGGAGGGTGGATTCCGTAGACAAGTAACTGAGAAACAGATGAGGAGGGGAAGGAGTGCTAGCGGTGGCTCGGACTTGGCTCGGACTACATAGTAGTGATTACTGTATGGGTAAGGGGGCTGACGTTGTTATTCGGAATAAGCGCCTTTGTGAGGCCTATCTAATCAGATAAACCCCACCGTCGTTACTGTACTGTAAGTAACCAACCTCCATGTCTTTGCGCGTCCTCCATCTTCATGTTGCTTGTCTCCGCCTGAAGGCCGCTAGACCCCAGCTGAATGCACATCTACTGCGCTTGAACTCCCGCGCCATGACGTCTACCACAAGCGACATTCAAGCCAAACTAGCAGGGTTCTCGACCTGCGAGATTTCCGACGCGATGATCAAGCTCGGTTCGTCGAGCGGAGGATACATCCCCGACATTCACCAGTTCTCGCCGTTGGGTACGAATGCGCGTATCTGCGGACCGGCCTACACTGTGCAGATGGTGTTGGGTTCGAACAAGGACGCACCGAAACTGTCCTCCCACTTCGTGGACACCGCTCCGACGGGTTCCGTGATCGTGATAAACGCACCTGATAGTATGGTTATGTCTAAATCGACTTGGAAAGACTAAGCTGACATGCGCTATGCACTATTTGCAGAGGTGAAGAACGCCGTTTGGGGAGGGCTAATGACTGCAGGGGCCAAGTCTCGCGGTGCTCTCGGTGTCGTCATCTCAGGACGCTGCAGAGATCTCGCGGAGCACCGGGATGCGTCTTTCCCCGTCTTCGCTCGAGGGCACTCTACCCTTGGACAGTCTCCATTCACTCGCCCGTCGGAGGTCAACGTCCCAGTAACCATCCGCTCTCCGGATGTATCCGAGGAAGAGTTCCCCGCAGTCCGAGTGGAACCAGGAGACTGGGTTATAGCGGACGAGGACGGCGTCGTCTGCGTTCCTGTCTCTAAGGCG